CCCATAAGGTCCTTAAGGTCAGGATTTGACTTCAGGCCTAGTTCACTACAGTCCCCCCTTTGGAAATCATCGCCTGTCCATGGGGATGAATTCCAACATGAACTTACGCCTTCGAATGTCCTTGAGCTTGATGTAATCCAGCAAGGAAAACAAAAGTCAAAGGAGGTAATTCCACAATATTCTTGGTAATTTCATTGTGTTGATGGTAATTCCATAATGTTGTTGGTAATTCCATTGTAGCAATGCTTTAACCCCTTGGAAACAAGAGTCTGTAATCCATTGGAAAAAGTCATATAATACACAACGGTAAATCCACAACGAATGGAAGTGTTGATTGATCAGCATACAGAGGGGTTCCCTTGGATTGAACTGAAGATGCGGCCACTGGATGAAGAGTGGAGACCAACGTCAGGATTGCAGGTCTCCTCCAGCGAAGGTCGTCTCTGGGCGACGTCCAGTCGGTGCCGTTCTGGTTCAATGTGACATGTGGTTTAAGGTGGGCTTATGAAGGGGATTTTACATAAGGCCTTAAACTATATGCACCTGGTGTGTAAGCTATTATGATTGGGAACAGCTACAGCTACCAGTTAAGGGATGGAACATGCTGAAAAGGGTAATTATAGGGATTTATACCTATAGAAGAGTGTTCCAAACTATTTTTCCATTTCTAACTTGGTTTAAGTTAGCTTTACATGGCAAAATATTGTTCGGTTCAATTGTCTGTTGTCTTTTAGACGAACGACTTGAGATTGGGTGTTTGGTTTCCCCATAAATGTTTTGGAAGTCTATGGCGAGACTCATCAAAAAGAATTAGCTATCCCCGCGAATAGAATTGTTCGAGTAGGTTCGGCTTAAGCGTTGTGAGACCAATGTAGATTATGGTACTTAAGGTAGCATTAATCTACATTGACTCCGCAAAGATTGCATTTTAACAAATGAACTGCATGTTGGCATGGTTAAAGGCCTCTTAGTCTCTAACTCAACTACACACAAAATTCATTCTTGCTTGGGGTGTTCAGAAACAATACCAAAAACCAATTAAACGATGTCTCAACATCGACAAAAACAGTGACTAAGCAACCAGTAAAACAACGTTTCAACATTGACAAAAGCAGTGATTAAGCAACTAGAAAACGACGTTTCGGTGCGCCACTCACTCTGAATGTCAGATTTGCTCACGTTATCGCGTCTGGTAGCAT